TTTTCAGAGGAAGTAAGTTTATAGGACACCTGGACTGCACCATCAGTAAGTAGGTACCATCCAGCCATACAGTCGCATAGAAACAAAGAAATAAGTCACAGAGTCTCACTTTCTTCGGTCTATCGCTATGTCTAGCAAGAAAACAGAGAATCATAAAAAGGATGTGAAATACCCTTATATTAAGAACTCAATTAGATTGAACATAAGGCACTTCTTATGCTTACAAACCAGCCAGCACGTATGGTATATATCAAAAGTAATGAAATCAAATTAAAGCTAAGCTAGATCTTAAGCAGCCAAAGGCTACGCAAACACTTATTATCGCGTAAGTTGGATAAAACCTATACCAGCGTGATAAGCTCTACTGGGAAGAATAACGCTACGCCGAAGACAGAATGCTATCGAAGAGCTGCAACTAGTAATGTGGCCTTCAGCAGACGAAACACTCTGATTAAACAGTCTAAAACATTCCTTTAAATACTATCTCTTTCTACCTCATTTCAATACACATGAGCTAGAATTAGTATTCTGGCAGAAAAATGGAAAGCGAGAATGACAGTAAAGGTATTGAACATAAAATAGTTGGTTAGGCAAAAAACAAAAATAAAAACGTACGTATTTATGTCAGTGGTGGTAACATTTTAAGGTATATTATAAGCATACATTATGTGCATTTCGTATAAAGAAGGCGTTAAAATTTAAAGGTGCAGCATTAAAAGCACATGCTATAGGAAAAACGCATATTTCAGAATAAACATACATTATATGTACATACATTTTAGGAAAGAAGTATTGACAAACTTTGTTGTTAGACTGTACAAAAGCATATAACCATTTAAACCAGAATCTGGTGCCTGCTCATTGGTACATACCAGTAAACACGTAACTATTGCTACTAACTATTACACGTAACAATAGATCAAACAAATGCTGTCACGTAATTTTGTTATTACAGTAAGCAGCTTGATTTAGTATTGGTATGCTTTAATATTGTTTATCGCATATAAAGACCCATTAAGTTTAAAAGGACATGCATAAAGTTCATTATTTTAGTTGAAAGAATGGAGGAAGGATTTTGGGATTATACGCCTCAAAGCTGTCTTTTCAGACATGCTACTCTAACAATAAAAGCTGTGGTTTGAGGAGAAAAGGATGTGCTTTCAGTAAGTATTTTTTGTACCGGATTGGATCTGTTGGAGTGGAATGACAGCGGAAGGATTTTATAAAGTAAAGGCAAGATATTAGTCGACAAAGACACCTGCTTTTGCGTAGATGCCTCTCTTCATAAAGCATCTGTTGCAAAAATACGAAAAAAGTGGCTGTGACCAGATAAAAGCTGACCGAGGAAAAAGGTGGCAAAGAATCGTGAATCATCTACTTCAGTGATAAACTCTTGATCTCTTTTATGCTGTCCCGCTCACTTTCTTTTGCCCAATTAACAATCCAGGTAATTTTGAATTCTGATGTTGATTTTGGACATTTGACTGTAATACCTGTGAAGCCAACATTATTCACTTCTTCTCTGGCTACTAAGTCCTCAGTTCATTTTCTTCATGCCATGCATGTGTTTAAATCCATCTTAGATGAAATATCGTCTGAAGGTTTCTGCATAGTATCTAACATAAGTCCTTCCTGATAGATCCTTTATTTATGATAATATGTGATTCATATAGACTGTCGAAGCGAATAGTTAGTCAGGAGAGCTGTATGTCATCACGAGATAAATGATTTCTTTGTCTCCTCAACTACTACAAATGAAAAACAATAGGAGTTCCCTTTGGTAGACGGTTATCTTTCCATTTTGTGCCATATATTTTTGTTGTTGTTATCTAAAAGTGCCTCTGCCAATTTCATTCTCGATTTTTGATCCGTCAGTGCTGGCGAGGGGTCTGGTGATCATATTTATGGCTGTTTCAAGAACGTGCTCTAATTTGCAGCTGGGTGTTTCAGGGGAATTTTGAGGTCTTATAATTACTGTGGTTGAATGCTGTGTTTCATAATGTTGATATTATGTAAGTGGAGAATTCTTGATTTTATTATGCTTCCTTCAAGATACAGAAAGTGGGACTTTTGGCCTGGTTGCTACATCAGATGTAATTCGAAAGACTTTTGCAATTTTTAGATGACATGGCATTGTACGCATCGAGAATTTTCTGGTTACTCACATATATTTTCTGTGCCCACACCATTACTCTGCATGCAATTATATCTTCATTGACCCTTCAGTGAAGTGAATATGTATTTTCTAGAAATTATTGAAGATAATTAAAAATAATACATGTATGAGATCTTTCGTGAGAGTTTTCTAGCTTTGAAATGTTTTGAAAAGAGGTGTTGCTGACATTTCTTCTAAAGAACGATCCTGTTGCATACTCGTGATGACATACATCCTGTTACAAATGATGGGAACATTACAACCTGCTGTGTGTTACACAATTTGTGGAAAACTATTACAATGAAGATGATAAAAATGAGGCTCGCACTTAGATAAAGATATTGGATGTCTTTGAACTCTTAAGTATGGTGTTGTTGGAAATGATTACCTGCTTTATTAAGCAACCGATCATGACGTGATTGACTTTCTTAGAACAATTTATCAAATGGAGAGAAAAAATGCAGTATTTCTGGTCACTAGAGGAAACCAAACAAATTTTTCAAGTTTAGGCATCAAAATGCCGAGCAGACAGCAACAGAATCGTGACAGAGCAGGACTATACATGGCTCTTAATTTTAGTAACTACCGAATAGCACACAACATTGAGACAAGTTACATCCGTCCATAAACTAATTTAGTCATTGACCAAGGTTCATATTTCAACTGATACTTCGGCATCATTCAGTGTAATTCTGGTGGTCAAGAGTACGGCGACGATAATCTCTGAGCTACTGCGAACATGACACGCTATTCGATAATTTCTACTTCCAAGTGTTTCAAGTGGCTAACGTTATGAAAAGATAGCATTAAGCAACAGAAATCTGTTGCCAAAAACTCATATGAACTGGTATTAAGCGTATGATTAAAATATTAAAATGTGACGTATTTTTATTGTCACATTAGCGTGTTTCTCTTCTAGTCTAGTATTCTTATTAGTTCATTCCTTTAATGGAGAGTTCTTTAACCTATTCCAATTATATAAATGTCTTTGATGGCTATATATATCATTTTTACATCATCTTTTCTCTGTAAAATATATTATTAGAAGAAATATTACCACTTCCACGTCATGAACAGCTAGTATAGGAATAACCTACCCTTCCTTCAAATTTTGCTGATCTAAGTTCCATAGAATTTACAAAGCGCTGCGCAAATTGCTGCAAACGAAATGGTGTCTCTTTCAGCCAACACAAGAATGTTACGTAGTGTCATAAAATATATACAATGGCAGTAAAAGCATACGCTTCGAACTACAGACCAAATATACTGAACTACAGCTAGACTGCTTTGAACTAGAGCTATGCAAAACTGGAGACCTAGGGCAAAACTTCTTATGGAAGCATTCTTCTCTTTTTTAACATACCAGGTATTACTAAAGTGAATTTTATTATAATCATAATAGTTTTTAAATTGAATATTTTTTCATTTAAAGTTATTTAAACAGTAATGCACCTTATATTTTTGTACATATAATTCTCATGGTTTCGGTTTAATATGCATAGTATAAAATATAAACTTGTAAATTTTAAACAAGTACCTTGATTTTCCTAAGAGAAACTGAAAACGAGAAGAATCTAATGAACTCTTACTGATTGTATTATAAATCTTAATTAATAAAATTATATAAATAAGACAAAATTAATGTAACTGATTTAGTTATCAATTTAATGATCAAGTACTTGTATAAAATATAGAGTTTAAATTTCAAGACCTTCTCAAACCATCACTGAATGATACGCAATTAAAGTGCGAGATAACTCAATGTTTGATTTTAAAAAAAGAAAATAAAAAAAAGAAGTTTAATACTTTTGATCCTGATTCTAAGTTTGTATTTTTTTAATTATAATAAAAAATGCATACAATTTTACATATTTGAAATACTATACGAGAATCTGGATGCTTGAATAAGGGAGCCTCGCTTGCTGACTGTTTAATGAGATCATGATTCAAGCACTTTGTTGACGGAACTGCATTAGAGTAGCAACTTTTACAGGCATAATATACTTGCAGTGTGTTATTGAACTGATCTCTTGCACACTGGCACTTCAGGAAATTTAACACTTATTCGCATATTTGTATAATAAGATCCTAAAAGTTTCTTTTAAGTCACAAGCTGAAAACAAATTTAACTCTACATTCTGTTAGCAACTTAGAATTAAAAAGAAGATATTAACAAAAGTATGCAGAAAACAATGATTTGATGCTGGTTGTAACTAACTAATAATGGTTTATGGAAAAAAATCATGTTCATGTTTTTCTTTAGGAAATCATATAATCAAAACCATTACTTTTATACACTAAGCGAAGCTCAATTAATCCTAATCATATCAGTTTCAACCCTAGTTCTTTAAACAAAAACTCATTAAACTCGTACAAAATATAGAATAAATAAAAGAAAATCAAAATTCAAAATTCATACCTTGAGGTGCACATGTTCGAGTACAGGACAATGTGCATTCAAAATTCAGTAGGTGCCTTCCTTTTCCCACAGTGCGAGAAATACATGAATACATTCATACATACCTACAGAGCATTTTCATTCTTCATTATTATATAATATTCAAGACTTGTTTGCTTGTTTGAAAGAAGACTTTTGGTTTGAAAAATAAACGGCTTTTAGGAAAGATTTTTTTGATAATTTATATGCATTTCTTTTCATTAAAGGAATTTGATTGCTAAAGTTCCAAAATGAAAACAAAATGAATCATTTTAATAGCATATCATATTCTAATTACTTTATGCTATTTCTCAACTACTTTTACAATGAATGAGAAATTTATTAGTACCTAAGCATTATGAATGTTCTAAACATTGATAACACTTCTTTGAAATTTTTTATTCGCAGCCATGAAATCAAAAGTCAGCTGGACGAAGTGAACAAGTGGGTTTCTGACGCCGAGACGAAAATTAAAACCGACATTACGAGTTCGAGGAATAAGATACAGTCAGAACTCGCTGAAGTAGCAATGGTGGTCGAGGACACAGCCAAATACAACGAAGAACTGCACAGAGCAATCAAGAAACAAGCGAAAAAGATAATGGTTTGTACGGACTTCATATTCTTTTATATCAAACCAAAATAGTCTTTTGAGATTCAATCTTCAGTAAAATATTTCTGACTCTGCCATGGGAGATTTATTAGGAATAATAACTGGGGGAATTTCGGTCTGATAGTTTTAAAGATAGATTCAGAGCAAGTATTCCCTTTAATGATTTTGAGATAAAATAATATATTTCTGTGGAATCCATTGCAGGCATATCTCACAAGCACTTATTTTAAAACTAAGACGAAAAATATCAAGATATGACTCTAAGATCTGTTGAAAGACCTGAAACGAAAATGGCGGTCTTTTTTTAAAACTGAGGAATTGTTATTTGAATCTGGAGCATTTTGAAAATTTGGCGACTTTAAGTAGTTGCATTAACACATAAGTACTCCTTTGTCTTTGTCATTAAAATAGTTGAGTAATCTAGATGTAAAATCCTTTCTTAAAATCAGATTTCCTTCTTTAATATTCATTAGTCAAATAACGTCACTTCCTTAATACAAATAAACTTTTTTTTCCGAAGCAATAATAAGTAGGACGTTAGCAGAAAAAATTATCATTGCACGGAATTTATGCTCTTTTCAGAGAAGCTATATTAATTTTTTTAATTTTAAGTGAACTCGAATTTTGAATAAAATAAATTGAAAGAATTGCCCAGATTTAGAACTTAAACAGAGAAATTTTCATTTTTAATTTTTCAAACTCTAATAAAAGAAAAAAGTTACAGAAAACAATTGTTATGGGAATTTTTAATTCAAATATTTTAGCACTGCCAACTCGGGTAAAAGAAATTATAGCACTTACTTGAATAACGATGAATAATAAATACAAGTAAGGGGTTATACGTATAATTTGCCTACAGTATATAAAAATAAATATACCCATATCATACAGATAACTTTCATTTTGTATAATTAATTAAGTTAGTCATTAATTTTAGCTATATTTCATTATGTACATATAAATGTTTGCACATTAAAAGTACAAAATTTATACAAAATTTATTTATTACTGTGTTCACAGTATTTATTTTTAAGTGTATCGGTCACGTGAAAATGAGTGATAGCATTGTAAAAGTAAATAATTACTTAACAAAATATAACACTGACTATAAGAGTACTAGTTTTGTTCAAAAGGTTTGTTTAAGACTATGACAAGAATTAAAATATCTGTATTAAGACTGCAAAACTATAAATATTGTTGCGTTCTACGGGTTCGTGAATTTGAAGTAATTGATGACAACACTTGATAAAGAATCAAAACACAATTTATTTAGCCTGTGTTACTCAAGACAATTCCAAAATCACGTCTACAGTCGTCGAAAAACTACGACAAACACGCTGAAACAAGCAGCAACACAGCCTTTGAGTTATAACGGTGAAGACAGCTTCACGACAAAACACAAAAAGTACAGCTCATGACTCAAGCTCTCGGAGTTCAACATTCTCAAGATATAACACTTGACGATGCACTACTTACTACTCCACGTACAGGCAGGGTTTATATAGCTTTTGACTTGCCTTCGACAACATTTGGGGTAAATCGGTAAGAATTTGTTCTAGAATGTTGTTCTCCATCCGTCTATGGTAAGTCGATAATTTTGTCGTCAAATACCTCCAAATGGGAACTTTTGCGCCAAATCTGGCAACCATGCCTTACCTTGCCATTTTCTGGCAACCCTAAATCCGCCTTGAGGAGAATCTATCTTACCGCAGCGGGGCATTTCGTATCAAAATAAAAAATCTGACGTGGACACTATATGACTGCTTTGTACGTCCTATTAAATTATACACCTTTTTTTCCTGCACTTCATTTAAAACGTATTTCCTCAAATTAATCTAACTTTAATTAACCGATTCCTCAAGCCACGATGAAAATCACTTAAAAAATTGTAAATTTTGAAATCAAATATCCCGGTCAATTTCTACAGTACGGAGTCAATCTTTTTGTCGTACGGAAGTTGTATTTTTAGTTTCTCGGAAAGACCCTAAAACTTTTCCAAATATTAGTATAGGACGTGGGAGCCCGCATTAAAAGTTAGATTTTCTTAATTGTCTAAAATTATTATTTTTTTTAAATTTGACATTGCCAAAACCTGAAAATTTTCGTCATTTGAAATACTTCTGTTGTGTTCTACACCATCAATATTGCAAAGTCCCCTTTTCCATTACACACACACACACACACACACACACACACATATATAAGTAAAATATAAAAAATACGATGGCTTTGCTCTTCGCGAACACGCAAACTTTAATTAACTTTCTGCAATTTAGGATCTTCTCCCCTTGACCAGTACCTTCCAGAATTCTCTAGTCTATTAAGTATCCACTTGTACAAATAACGAGCTCGCGCCATTTTGGGACGCAGAAGAAATACACAATTTTGCAGCACAATGCGCAAAATTTTGACCACATAGGTCTTTTATCGTTTGTTCTTTCTACTTTACTTTAAATTATATATATATATATATAATTTAAAGTAAAATATATATATATATATATATATGCATGTATGTATTTATGTATGTGTAAATACTTTTGGTACTGCTGATTGAAATAAAAAACAAAGCTACACAACTAAATGTCGCATATATAAAATTTCAAGCGTTCTACGACCAATCGGTTTTAAGCTTACGAGATACATACATACGTACGTACGTAGATAGGTAGAGACGTCACGAAAAAGTCAATTTTGAATCAATTTTACAATAAAAAGTCATTTATTCAGTCTCCGTACGTACAGATATCATGCCAAAAATAATTAAAATGGATTTGGGAATGGTCAAAATGGATATTTCCGTTGAAATCTGATAACTGAAATGTTTTTGCGTTCACAGGTACTTCGCTTACTTTATAGAAGGAAGCAAAAAGTGAAGAAAGATTTTGCTTATGTAGTAGTAACTGAAAATATTTTTTGGGTTAAAAAAACTGTTGAATATACTAAAAGGAAAAACAAATGAGAACAAATTATATATATCCTTGACCTCATCTGATACTGCAATCAAAAATGTCTGAAAACTTTTGACTAGAGCAAAAAGATTTTATGCAAAGAACAACAAACGCCATTTTCTTTTCATTATCATTTTGACGCAGTTTTTTTTATTCCGCTTTTTGCATAATTAACTGCTAATTGCCTGTTTGCATTCTGCGCAAATTAAATTTTTATCGTAGAGGATGGTTATAGGATGAATTTGCAGAGTGCAGCCGGTTAGATGAATAATAAGATCGTTAGTGAGATGCGCATGAAAGTATCACATTTTAGTTCACTTGCATGCACTAAGAAAATTAAAATAGGATGGAATATAGCGGGTAAAGCTGATAAAGAAAAGAGGAGTGTAAACGATACACGAAGAAAGAAAGGCAACATGCAGCTTTTCGGAATATTCGTAATTTATATCCCGGCAATGAGACTGCACGTACGGTAAATAAAATGCCGCTCATTAATGAGACAATCCTAATAACTAGCACCTTTAGTGAGACGTCTATAAAACGTTAAAATGACGTATAAGTTAAATATCACGATTGATATATAATAGCTATCGTGATAGGTATATAATAGCTTGTCACTTTTATGTGATACTGTTTCGTGTGTGATCCGTAATTTATTGTTATGATGCAAATTTCATGCATTTACCCGACTGCGTAAAAGTCATCACTTCTGTCTCGTTTTGTCAACCCTATCCCTCTTCTTTGCTACTGTCCTTATGCCGTCGTATACAGAATGACAAGTACCATTCGGGTACTTGCCGGGTACTTGGGGTATGATTTCCAACCAAAAGTTAACCACAATTTAAATAGCAGCTCTTCGCATCTCAAACAGTATATGAAAGGGTATGCCCCACATATGTCCTGTCTTCACAGATTTTGCCTAAGAGACAAAGACCAATGTATTTGTGGCAGTAATGGTGACCCAGATCAGTATCTGTTTGACTGCTCACACAGGGAATTCACATTTAAAAAGACCAACTGCAATCAATATGCCGGCATGGTTCAAGAACATAATTAAGAATAAATATGCGCTCAGCCGCATTAGAAACTGCACTACCATTGCTAAAAGCATTGCTGACAGCCTGGAGTGACTTCTTTCCTTGGGCACCCTGCCGTCAGCAGCCCGCTCCGTACATATATTAATTTACTTAATGTCTTCTTTTTTTGTTTGTTTTTGCTTGGTTTTGCTGTTATTAATTATATTTAATATTATGATTAATCCAGAACTCATTTAATGTATTCTACAATTTGTAATGTATTTGATCATCTTTACATCTATACCTGATTATTATAGTACATCTTTAATATAACTGTGTGCCTAACATGTACTGTAATAGTGAAAAGTGTTCCGCTTAGTCTCAGCAGTCCCCACCATGCAGTTCCATGTTCTGGTCCTTATTTCAATGTTCCTCATTTTGTGGCAAATCCCCGGAAGACACAATACTAAGCTCTTTATTTATATTTATTCATGCATTTATTAATTCCACCGCCAGGATCCAACAGGCTAAAGAGCACCTAACCCAGTGGGCCAGCTGTTCCGTCGATGGCGAAAAGAAAATAAAGTACCATTCGAGAATGTTTAGTTGATGATATAGGCGGCACAACTACTACAATACTAAGGCGTAAAGTCATTACTTTCATTAATACCTGTGGATCAGAGTTACCTATAATCAATCAGGGCTTTAAAGTCGCGCATGCATGCGTAGTTGACTCATCGAAATCGTCAATCAACTGCTTCGTGTTTGCTTCACTTTGATCACCACGAGGGCATTAAGTTAAACATTTCGACATCCTTATACCAGTTCCATGATAGAGCAATGATTGGTTGAGTAGCAGCGGAGGTTCAGTTTATGGTAGTTACGAACATTAAATCTCTCTTCGAATGATTCTTTCTTCACCTCAGAGTTTTCACTTTGTTGATCACATTATGATGAGAGAAGTGGCTGTTGGAAATTTTCAGCCCAAAAGTGAGGTTAGTCCCGAATGGGAACAGTTCATATTTTTTGTATTATTCCAGACTTATTTGATTCAAGCCAAGGGTAGGGGAACTACTTACAAGGGTTCAGCGATAACACATTAAACATGGAAGGCCAAAATCTCTCCTGAAAATTAAGAAACGTCAAGAATTTATTTAAAATTCTTAAAAGCATGTGGAGGCCCTGAATACAGCGGAGCTTTCACGGCCATCACGAGGTTAATATTGGTTATCCAGGTTAGTGAAAATACAACGGTCGAGTTTTTTCTTTTATATAATATTAGCATACCAGAAGTGGTCAAATGAATATTTTCTATTTATTTACTTTTGACACATAAAAGCTACAATATGCAGGCCTGTTCTAGAACGTTTTGTATGTTTTAAGAGAGCAGGTGTTAGCTGGTCAAGCTAGAAGCGAAATACCGAAATGGAGACCTAGTTCAAAAGGTGAAACGTTTACGCTTGCAGTTTTCTCATTGTCTATTAGAAGTTTCGATGTACGTTGTTAGAATTTCAGTTTGCAAATTAATTGCATCACCAGCGGTACGTAAAGAATGGAAAGGGGAAATATCGAAATTAAGTTAGAGCGTTAACGTCTTATCGCAAGTTAAAGTTAGCATTTAGATTGATATATTTTTAATGTTACACACACACACACACATATATGTTTGGAGTTAAAGCGTTTAATAAAGGCCCAGTGGCGCAGTGGCTAGCGCATCGCGCAACAGCACCACAGGTCCGGCGTTTTAACCCCGGGCTGGTCAAGGTCGACTTAGCCTTTCATTCCTTGATTTCAATCCCTTGGGTCGATAAAAATGAGTACCAAGTTCGCTTGGTGACTAAACATTGGGGTCCCTGCGACAAGCTGACCACTTGTTCAGGGCATAGGCTTACGCACCCCGGGGCCCACGGACAAGAAAGCAGATTTCGGGGCACTGCAGGCCTTGGCAAATTAGGGCTGTTTGCGCCACTGAGTTTAGTTTAAAGCGTTTAACAATTTCTGAGTTATGATTCAGAGGATTCGAATGCTACAAAATGAGGGAAATTATGAGTTTTCGGATCCTGAACCCTTTTCACGATTCGTGGGATTTGAGGATTCTAACGTTTACTCTCTAAATAAGGAAGACTGTTCATGTTATTGATGACAACTTACTATCTGTTGACGCAATTATTGGAAATTTTTGTATCCAACAAGCTGAATTTTCTATTGGAAAAGGTGTTAATAGAAACAGAAATTTCTGAACAAAATTTTCTAATTAACACTGTAAATATCTTTGATGAATTCAGAAGTCAAACAACAAAAATCAGCGTTATATTTACAAACATTTCACAGGACTAGTTTCGATGGTTTTACCGAACCACCATCTTCAGCTGCAAAACCGCAAATGAACAAGATAGAAAATAATGATTAGATAAGATAAGAAAGCCTGGACAAGAATAATTTTTGTTGTTTGACTTCTGAATTAGTATTTATTCGGCGTGTTATTGTGTCTTAATCTTTGATGAACCTTAGTCTCTAAATTTATGCATATTGATAATCAGGACAATTGCTCCCATACCCTACAATTAGTTTTCTCCTACATACCTAATAAAACTAAAACAAATGATTTAAAAGTATCTAAATTTAACGGCTGAAATCCCCATCAGTCAGCGTTAAAGGAAATATTTCTATCAATTAATACTACTATTTTTTAATGAATAACTCAGAAAATACTAATATCATTAATTAATATGCCTTTTAATTTACATGAGGAATTTAGCTGCATTAGCGCCTTAAGCGTTGTGAAATCAAAGGCTACTTAAGATTCTCGCTGCATAACCAAGAGATAAGATCAATTTACTTCCACAAATGAAGTTATGTAAGTAATTGATGGATAAATATATCCTTCATAAGAGTCGTGTCGTTTACAAAATTATAATAATGGAGCCAGAAATTATATATGATATCAACATTAATATTTATACAATTGCTCAAATTGCAGAGAAAGCAATAGCTTAAAGATTGCATCTGAAGTATAAAATATTCTTTAGCATATAAAAAGCAAGGTCATATCCTGCTACACGTGAGTCATTTTTTCATCTAATATATTCGATCACCAAATTATGTTAGGAATAAATTTTGTATAAGTTTTATTTTGACTAGGTAACACCAACGACAGCAGTAGGTTCTAAAAATGTATTTCAAACGCAGATACACAAACAAATCAATATGAAATTACAGAATAATTATGAAGATATCAAACACAGAACAAAGAAATAACATTGGTTATCGTCTGAAATTTTCAAATAACCATAAAAACTACTTTTGGAAAAATAAACACTTTGATGAGTATAGCGTTCATACGTGACAGGGCTTATACTATGAAGTAATACCTATATTTAGTTGTTTTCATTGTGTAGCCAATTTGTTCAGAAGGACTATTAATTTCGTTTTGGCATTTTGAGTTGATTCACTACAAGCGTTGTTTCACTTTTCAAATTGTTGCTACCAAATATTATCGCTCTGTATTATATTTAAAGGAATTAAATAATGAAGAATCTGCATAAATGTATGCATGTTTCTCGCATTGTGATAAAACAACCTTACCATCAAATTTTCAATAACGTAATCGTAATCCTAATACGAATATGGGCATTTGGAAGCCCAAATTTGAAATTTGGAATTTGTTTTATTATCGATTTCATATTTTGCAAACCTTTAACGAATTTTTGATTAACAAACTACAGGATTTCAAAGCGAGCAATGGCAACGTTGTGCACAAAAAACATTTTATCTCCAGCGCGCGAGACTGTGTATCGGAAATCCTCAAGATATGCTAATTTTCAAATTATTTTGCGATATTGCTTTTGAACTGAATTTTATAGTTTAAGTGCAAAGAACATGGTATTTAATAAATAAAGGTAACGCACAAAATGTTAAAAAAACGCCCCCTTGGACGTAATTTAAAATTTGAAACCTTTTAGATATTTTTCACTTTTATTTATTTATTTATTTTTTACAGGATCTCAGCAGCCAATACGAAGACATAAATCGTAATATGTCGACTGTGATGGATACGCTGGAAAAGTCAAGAATGCGATGCCAGACTCTTCAGTCCGATCTTTCATCGATACAATCATCAGTAGTAAGTATCTGTTATATTATCATCATTAGAAAGTTTTAAATTCGAAAAACTTCTTTTACAATCTTCCAGTTCAAATAGTTCAAAAAATCTACCCATTGTAAACATCAAGCCAATAGTTAATATTTCTAATGTTAGACTTTCAGGAGAACAAGAGAGAATTCTAAAATATAATTTTAACTTCTCACAAACCTGTAAAACCTCGATTTCAAAGATTTTGGCTCCTATCGAAAAAGCTTTCAAGTTCAGTAAAGTTTCAGATTCACAGAAAGAAATGATTAGGCATCTTATCGCTCATAATGTGAAACTCAATAATAAACCTTTGAAACCAAATCTAACTGCGAGAGAAAGAGCTACAATGCACGAAATTCATTCTAATCCGGATATTATCATTTTAAAGGCCGACAAAGGTGGCCAGATAGTCGTCATGGATAAGAACACTTACATCGATGGTGTCACTAAACTCTTAAACGAAGGACCATATAATCCGATCCCTAAAGATACTTCACCTTCGGACCTGTTAAAAATAAAAATTGCGATCAAATCTTCACAAATCATTTCAAGCAACTTAAAACATTCGCTTATCCCATCTGTTGCGAATTGTGCCGGATTATATGCTCTTCCCAAAATTCATAAAAGTGGTATTCCTTTCCGCCCTATTGTATCAAATTTAAGTACTGCCTCGTATCCTTTAGCTAAATATTTAGTTTATAGATTTTCAACTCTATTAGACACCATAAAAATTCAATAGAGTTTGTAAAAACGGTTAAAAACATTTCTCCTAGGAATTTACTCATGGTTTCTTTTGATGTAAAATCATTATTCACCAATGTTCGAATGGAGGGTGCATTAAGATGTCTAGAAACCAGACTTCGCGAATTTCATTTCTCTTGCATCGAAATTGATGAACTAATTTCTCTCTCTCAACTCTGTTTGAAACAAACACATTTTGTTTTCCAAAATAAATATTACAAGCAAACTGAGGGATTAGCCATGGGAAGCCCCCTTAGTCCCATCCTGGCTGATATCTACATGCATCAAAATTGATGAAACTTTAAATGGTTCAAGATTAAAAACTTTAAATTTAATGAATCAAAATTGTTTGAAACTTTAAACTTCCCGGCATGGTTCAGTTACGTAGACGATACTTTTACCCTGTTTGAAGGTAATAAAGATGATTTGAATAAAGTTCTTTCAACAATGAATTCTATTGATCCTGCTATTCAGTTCACTTTTGAACTTGAGACTTGAAATTCTCTTTCGTTTCTCGACATTCTGGTCACACGTAACACATCCAACTTCAGTACTACGGTTTACCGTAAACCTTCATCGGTTTGACTTCCACCACACTTTAAATCATGTCATCCAACTAAACAAAAGTTAGCTTCATTTTATTCTTATGTTTTCCGTGCTCTTCAAGTTTGCTCCTCCAAACTATCCCTTGACGAAGAACTAAATTATTTAAAAGCAATAGCTATTGAGAGGAGCTTTTCACCCAACATTATTAAGCAAGCAGTTAAAAAATTCTCATCTCAACACACTAAAAGGCACACTTTTGTTTTATTATAAAAATTCTGTTGTCATTCCCTTCTTTCCATCAATTAGCTATAAAGTCGCACGTATTTTGCAGAAATTTAACTTTCGGGTTGTTTATTCTCCCATCAATAAAATTCCGAGTTCCATATTCAAGGACCCCATTCCGGATATGAATTCCTGGGGTATTTATAGGTTCCCTTGCCAGTGTGGTTTAATTTACATTAGCCAAACTAAGAGAGCCTTAAAATTTTGCGTCAAGGAACATGAGGCATATGTTAGAAAAAAAGGAAACACAGAAGTCTTCTGTTGCTCAACATTGTTGGTCCGAAAATCACACATTTCTTCTGCTGCCAAAATTATTCAAAAAACATCTTCCACTGGAGAACTGGATTTTCTAGAGGCATTTCTCATTCAAAAAAATCTTTTTGTTCTAGTTAACGATCCTAATTCCAATCCCTCTTTGCCTTCGGCCTTTAAAGAAATTATGTTTTAGTTCTGGTTTCATCAAAAGATGGCACCATTTGCTTATTCTTGTCCAGGCTTTCTTATCTTATCTAATCATTATTTCCTATCTTGTTCATTTGCGGTTTTGCAGATGAGGATGGTGGTTCGGTAAAACCATCGAAACTAGTTCTGTGAAAATTTTGAATATATAACGCTGATTTTTGTTGTTTGACTTCTGAATTAGTAAGTATCTGATTTAATAATGAAAAGAATAGAATGAAGAAATGCGTTCTCCAACTATACTTCCATAAAAATTTAAGCAGCTCTAAGCAGCTTATGCTGCAGATATTGCATCACTTTAAAAATAATAAATTTTTATGAAAACTTGATTTTATAAAAATAAATTTTTTAAAATAATACTTTTATAAATTTGCTAATGATTTTATAAAATAATGCTTAACTATTACATATTAAAGGAGCATTTTTGTTTAATCTTTTGAAGAAACAGTTTCTAATGAATTAAAAAATGAATATTTAATATGCTTAAATGCATTCTTTACATACGCTTCTTCTTTCCAAAGTGATAGCATTACTTATGTAAGTTAAATAATTTAAAATGAAATTTTTCAATTAAAAATTGTTTTGGGGCTAAAATTTATAAATTTACTTACATTCAAAATTAAAATTCGAACGTTATGGTTTGCATTCTTGCAATATATACCCCAACTGTAAAATAGCGGAAACTGTATAAGGCTTTTCAATTTTTTTTAATATTCATTCCAAATGTATTTTGCTGTAGCCTATACTAATATCTATACGAAAAACAATAACTTGAGTCAAAAATCTGGAATGGCCGATTTATTTCTACTTGAATTTATAAAGTTAGCTATTGAACTATATCCTCTTTTACATCCCCGTATTGTCAACAACTTTTCCTCTTCTCATATAATTTGAAATCTAGAACTCTTAAAGCAGTGAAAACTCCAGTTAAAAGATGTACCATACAATTAAAATTTAACAAAGCATAGCCACCACTACTTGCGGGGTATTTACATTTAATTACATTACAGCAAAATCAACTAACAACATTCTTAACTTCATAAAGGAAGTTAATTATTTAGGAATAACTCTTGAGAAAATTAACATTTATAAATCATATTGAATATGGCATTCATAAAGCAACGGGTGTACTTATAAGTACTTTTGTTTTACTGTAGTAAACAAAATCTAAACTGGCAATCAAAATTTAAAGAAAAATTCATTATACAATAGTTCTCTTTATTCTTTTACATGCATCCAAGCCTCAGCCCTTCAATTTGAGGCTCCGCGACCCACTATACGGCCGAAGGCGGCTCTTCATTTTTTGACAGCAAAATTAAAACACAGACAATGATAAAAAAGTATGAAACTTAATTAAACTCGCAAAGAAAGACTTATGCGAACTGCTTCGTAAATTTTTACTTCATAATGGTTCAAGCAATATTATAATGAAATCGTAGAGTTCATTTAAATATAGTAAACACTCAATATATATATGAATTTAAGATCATACAACATTATATATTTATATATATATGTAATTAAAATTTTATTATTTTATTAAATTGACTGCCGTGGAAGGTCACCGGTGGCCGGCGAGGCAACCAGTAGTAAAAATACATAATTAGAGTAAATATTGATACTGATAAATTTTTAAATACTAACCATTGTTACTATAATGGTTTGAAGAACAATAAATCGCAAAAATTTAAATAATAAATCGAAAAAATATCCTACAACGCCTCGGGGGTCACCAGTGACCTCCACCATGAAAAATGCATTAAACCCAACAACATAACTCACTTTATCTTCTGTATATAATATTTCAACATAATATACATAACATAATAAGAAAATCATATTGGCACCATGGGCAAACCACGTAAAATTAGCGCGGCAGTCAATGTGTTAATATTCTATATAATGACAGAAGCGTTACAAAATATTTCTGATTCATTTCAGTCAATGAAGTATAGAATTTAAAAGAAAATGGTGGTGAATCTGTAAGCCGTCTGCTTACCTGATGAAGTAAGTATATATTTTAATACAATTTCCCATGCCTTTTAAATTATTTATTACCAAAATTTTTTCTTTAACACGCGTAGACCTGAAAACTGCTAACAATGAAATTTCAACAGTTATTTTTCTGTTAATAAACAAAAAAATCACTTTCTGGATTTCTCGTTTTAATGGATATTTAACGAAAACTTATTTTTTAATTAAAAAAATTAAGACGTAAGCTTTAAGGGACATTTGAAATTTTCATTCTACAGATTGACAAGGTGGTACCCAAACATGTGACATAATTTATGAATTACACATCATAATGCACGTAATATGCTCATCCGCTTTTAATCATATTTGCATCTTTCTACATCTTTATAAGTATATGATTGATGAAAGTGACGTAAGCAGCGACATCTTGGCAGGGCTGTAAGCAACGAAAAAATGTGACGTGTTCGAGATAAAATCTTGGTTCAGAATGATTTAGTTTTGCTTTATTTTGATTGGTTACTATTTAATTCCTAAATTCTTGGTTGCAGCTTTATGTCAGTATCTTTGATTATCTGACATTTATGTATCCGCACGAGTGTGTGAGAGAAATGTAAGAGGATAGAAACGATGTAGAAGGAGGAATCTTAATTTCCTTGTAGAAGGAATCTTAATTTTTAGCAGCTATTTAAAATTTCTAATAGAATTATTTACTCGAGTTTTTATAAATGTCGGTTTCTTGCTATTTTTTTAAAAATTTCTTAATTCATACTTCAATTAAATATGTATGATAAAGTTGTAAATTAAGCAAAAATTCATAGCTTTGTATTATATCCATGTTTCATGTTCTCAACATGATTATATTATAAAAATATTAAATTAGAGTGAAAAATTTTAATTTATAGTATAAAGCATAGCTGAAATGAAAGAAAGTAAAAGTGTGAGTAAGAAAAATTTAAAACATCAATTTATCAACTCAGAGCTATGACCTTCAACCTCTTAAATTCCTACTAATGGGTGAATGTCAAACAAAAGCACTAGTAACGGCTACATAATTTCACTTCGGCTACCAATCAAACTGGCAGCATGACTACTTTTGTTATATGCTTCATTCGAAGAATAAGTGCAGGCGACCTTTTAAAAAGTTGTCTTCGAAAGCATCTATATTTCTAGTAAAAGGAAGATTACCCTTAGGAGCAGTTTTTAAGCAAACAAGTTTACATAAATCTGCGCCTGAAAGGGATAGTAAAAAGTATCATTCTAAGAATTAAAATATTTTAATTTAATTATGTCCATTCACCCTTCTAGTTTTCAGAAAATCTTAGATACATAATGTAATTTGTTTATTCATTCCTTTTATGCGTATAAATGTAAGCAAGATACAGAATAGAGAAAGTCCTCAGTTTAATTTGAACAACTAATTCTCTGTTTAATTAAATTATTTTCCCCTTTCTAACCTAAACTTAGTAACATGGTGTTTTAATAATTCTTTCCTGCATCATTTCAAAATTACTCCTTGCTATATGATCCTTACATAACGTATGCACATATTTCTCATTACGTATTTCATATGCACATAATTCATTACGTATTTCATGACGTATGCACATATTTCTTCGGCCAATAATAATATTAAAATTTGAAAAAAAAAATCTTAATTAGCTGATAAGAGTAAATTAAAACAAAAGCTGTATTATTCTTAATTGTCGTTTCAGTTTCAGACCCACACATGTTTCTTCCGTTTTCTGTTCTGCCAACATGTCGCAGCTTACCTTTCTTACATCAAATACATTGTTATAAAGAAGTAAAAAAACATAAACGTAACTGATGAAGAATGAGCACACAAAATGTAGTCGAGTCTGCATCATATATGGCATTTTAATAATAAAAGAAGTTTTCAACTGAGCCACGATTGCTGTATATCTTCATGAATTGGCTTTCTTAGTTTAACGTTTACGCCATCTTTAAAATATTTTCATTACAGCGATTCCATTAATACCTCGCCAAATATTGCTACAAATAATGTGACAAATTAAGAAAACCGTACAATATTTTTTTATTATTCATGATTGGCAACCGTAAAAGGTACCCCAAAAAGCATTTACTTAAAAAGCATTTACCAACTCTTTATCAAGGAGTCTGCTGGTCTTTATTTGCAGCGTGAATTTTGAATAAATGAACTCTTCAGTTTCTAACTGAAAAGACTAAATTATCATTAAAAAATTAAACATTTATTGCTTCAGGTTTTATTTGCTTCCATCAAAATACCTATTAAATATCTTTTAAAAATATCAAAATAGTACACAAAAATATTATCCATTTATATGCAAATTACGTTTAAACTTTCAAAGTGTCTTTATCAAAATTTAACTATTGCACCACTACTATTTCACAGTTAGTTCATGGTTCTTCAATAATAAAAAAAATTAAAAATTAGGACATAACTATAACCTCGTCTTTTATTATACTGCATGTTTTAATATTTTAGAAGGCAGAACCTAGAAGTTTTTCTCCAAAGAAAATCTACATTCAGTCTACAGTTAACAATATTCGGATACTTTTTTGTTATTAACTCCATGCAGAATTAAAACTGCTTTTGAGCAAGCTACTGCTACATTGACTTAATAAAAAATAGTTGACGTTTTCTTAATTTATGTCATCTGAAATGTTATTCAAGCTTGTGCCATAGAAAGTCAAGGCTAATTTCGTCCATTCAGAATGTTTTAGCTTCAGGCGGAAACAGAAGCTATATGCTTCTTATTCAGTGGTAATTTATTAAATAATTTCTTTTTATTCTGTGGTACTATTAATAAAGAAAATAAATTATATCACTTTCGGTTTGCATCATGAATAAGGTGCAGTTAACTACTTAAATTAAAGTCAATGTCAATGCGGATCTTTAAATCAAATCCGTTGTGGTTTGTACACTAGATTCTTTTATTTTAATCATGCTTCTGCTAAGAAAAAATTCTTGTTATATTTTTATAGGACTTATTTTGATCCAGTCAGATTCATATGACGTAAGTTTAAAAAATTACACTCGAATTTAATTCTGAGCAAATATTCACAAAGAAAATTGTTTTAGAATTTACATTTATCACAAATTGAGGTTTGTTAGACATATTTTAAATATGTTTCTCTGCCGAAAATTTACTAGGTATGTACTTCATGTATAAAAATTCACAAAGTTACAACTAGCAATTTCAAAATAATAAATACGCAGTACATCTGTAAAATTTTAAGATTGCTTTTTTCCCACCAGTTCCCAACAGCGGAACTGCCATATGATTAAGATTTATGCAATCTATGTGAATTGTTTATAGGACAAATGGTGAACAATTTTCGAAAATGTTATTGTAAATCCTTAAACGTGAAATTTTATCAATACTATAAACAAGAATTGTAGCAGAACTGGGAAAGATAAGCAAACAGCCTGAAACCGGGGCACTTTTAGTGGAACTGCGAAAGAAAAGCTGAAGACCCAGAGGAACTACCACAAGATTTATGCAGCCTACATGAGATCTTATGGAATCAAAAGTCAAATAGTAATTAAAGTCAATAGTCTGCTTGATTTACATATACACCAAGTTAATTTATCTTAAAATATTAATTACATAAATTACATAATGAGCTATATAATGAATTATAATACTGAAATGATTGCATAATGAAAGCTAAGACTGGGATGTATTATGTAACTCATTCTGTTAGTTTCATGAGTGATTCCATTGCAAGATAAAAAATACTTTCATTATCAAAAATAAAAAATCACGATAAGACGATGAAATATTTATCTGCCGATGTTCAGATAACCTCACATTTCTATATCCATTAAAATGATTTTTAAGCGCGTGTAATGATAACCGAAGATAAAACCATGATTTAGTTTCTCAGCTCTTAGTAACAGCGAAAGGTATTATAACCGCATAGGAATGAAAGAGGCAATGCTTGCACATGCTTTCATAAGCGCGTGTAACGTGACTCATGATATATCAAAATAGAGTACTAAAAGTGTTAAACTTCTCGATAAATCATGAAGCAAAGTAGTTGCGTCTTCTCAGACTTTAAGAGCAGGAAACGTGCATAAATATAAATAAATATCATTCATACGCAAATGAAGCTTATGTATGTAATTATTAATTGAAGAGTTTCATACCATTGAAATAAATGCCTCATTTCATCATGCATTTTGTCGATATTTCAAACATTTTCAGTAACTTCAAAACATTGTTAAAATTAATAGATTCGCTTAGCTTGACTATTACTAGTTATTGTGTACCCTCTACACGAACAAAAAAGCGAAAGTTCTAATCTTCCGTTTTACTGGGTCGATTGGCAAAATTTAAATTGCATTTCTCATATCTCGAAAGCGCAACTCAGGATATAAATTAGATTTATATATAGCACTATTCTAACATAGTTTTTTTTGAAACAAAATCGGACAATTTCTGAAAAGGCATAGCGATGTTTCCATATTTCAGTTCCACGACTCAAATTGTGCCAAAGAGCCAAGTTTTGTAAAAATTGCGCTAGTAGTTTTTAAAAATTTAGCTCTCATAATTTTAGCTCCTCAGTGGTAATTGGATTTGCTATATATTTATTAATATCTTTTTTTATTAAACTTTATTGATTTCTTCTCTCACAATTCAAAATTCAAAGGAATTCAAAGGCATTTATTTCAAGGGCTTCAAAATTAAAAATAACTCTTAGAAAACTAAAATAATCCGTACAAACTGTAAGGCAGAATTACAGGTTATAGAATTCACAATTTGCTTACGACCATTCACCAACCCTAACTATTACTAACTACCGGTGATTTCTCTTTTAAACAGCTAGATGACAGCGATAAGAGAACTTCAAAGAATCCTTGAGCTTTGGAGATTAAAGACATGTTTAAATATTTTGTTAATAAAAAAATCAAAACTCTGATGTTTTATAATGCTGTCATTGCGTATTAAATGAAATAAACACTTTCTAATCTGCCTTCTGTAAGCTCTACAAAACACAAATAGCAAATGCGCAAAAGTGCATTTGTTATTATCGTGTATTACGATTATCAGCTCTCATGTATCAACTGACGAATCGCCTTCCATAAAAGAAAAATGATGTTGCAGACTAGATGATGCAGACTGATAACTGACTATGCAAATACTTTTTGTATTAATATACAACATAAATTCTAGGTAACATTTCTGAATAACAGACGAGTATATTTCTCTTCTCATTCTTCCTTTCAGATAGATATCTTTCTTTGGATTTTCTAAACGCTCATTTTCTAAAATGTCCCTTAAAATGGTAGAAATTATATGACAAATCGAAATTCCACTGCTGAAATAATTATTGTTATTTTCAGTTTTCTCCTTTAATTTTTATCAAAACAGCTGCTTAGGTATTTTATAAATTTTTAAAAGATAAATTGTTAAAATTTTCAGCTTTAATTATGATTCGTAACGGAAGAACCGTGTGTTAATTTCGTATACAGTGGATATTAGTTATTACGACCACTCATTATAGCAAGTATTCAATTAAGCTGGTACAAAAATTTCCAAACTGATAAAAGAGTATTAATTTTTATGAGTATATTATTAAATTAATTTTAAAATAAATTAGTATACTAAATCTATTTTAGTTACACTGCTGTTTCATTATAATGTCTAACCTTGTATGCGCAAGAGGATGATATAAAGAGCATTAACTGTGTTATCAAAAGAAGATAAACATGAATATCTTGCCATTTACTCGTTTTGCTGGAGTCACTTTCATAAAGAAAGTAACGTAATTACATCATTTACAAAAGAATTTCAGAAAATTTGAATAAAATTTGAATATAATAAAACTTTTGAAAATCTAATTATTAGTTTTAAAGCTACATCAGAAAAATTATAGTTTTTCTAAGTGTATCGTAAACTTAGTATCTTAGAAGGTTTGAGACTTTAGAATTGCTGCACTTCTGATGTCAGCTGTTTTACATTCCCCCTATTGGCATTTTATTAGTTTATTGTAAACTGCGGGGAAAAAAGAGAACAGTTCTGTATCTCCTGTTCTACTGGGCCGATTGACGTAATTCATTTTGCGTTTTTCGTGTCTCGAAAGCGCGACTTATAATACGTCGATTTATATATAGCATTTAATATAGGTATTTTGACACAAACTCGGACTTTTTCTGAAATAACATGCCGATTGTTTTCCATATTTCGATTATATAGGACTCAAATTATGCAAAATTGCCAAGTTTTGTAAAAATCGCACGAGTAGTTTTTAAAAAATTAGCTCTCAAAATTTTAGCTCCTCAATGTTAATCGAATTTGATATATATTTATTTATATCTCTTTTTTTTATTAAACTTATTTGATTCTTCCTTTCACATTTTGAAATTTAGGTTCATTCCAAATAAAATTCGCCTATTTTTGTGATTTATTTTTAAAATTTTTATTTTTATAAATGTTTTCAAAAAATATTTTGAATTATAATCTATAAAATTTTTAACCATCATCGTAGAGTAGATATATTTATAAGCATACCTGCAAAAAGTTACAGTTTTTTATTCAAAATTTTCGAAGATATACGTGAATTTATATATTGGCGCGTTTTGAAATTTGGCATATTTGTTGAAAGCGATAATAACATCAAATAAGGTTTAAGCACTTTGTTAATATTATTCGACAGTAGAAACGATGTGATTTTTTTCCAGCTTATGCACTGTCTTCCCACAGTGTAAAGAGGTAGGAACGCTGCGACATTTTTTCCGCTCCTGGACAACGGAAGGGAAAGGAAAATAGGTTGCCATACATTAAGAAGTTTGCTGAGTGAATTATTCTTGGCGCAAACTGAAAAAAATTACGATAAATTTTTTAATTTCTCCGTAAATTTCGCACCAAATTTTACAAAATTCAATATTTAAGCATAATTTGAGTCGTAGAATCGAAATATGAAGAAAAGTTGGTATGTTATTTCAGAAAAGGTACGATTTTAAGTCAAAATACCTATGGAGAAGAATGCTATACATAAATCTAATGTATACCCTAAGTCGCGCTTAGGAGACATGAAAAACGCAATTTGAATTTCGTCAATCGGCCCAGAAGAACAGGAGATTCCCCTTTTCTTTCTTTCTTTTCTTTTTTTTTTTTTTCTTTTTTCTTTTTCTTTTTTTTTCAAGTGTACAAGTAAGTATAAATGCTTGATTCAAACACAGGTTCAAGTTCTAACTTTCCTATTTTACTGTCTTATTAAAATCGAAGAATAAAGTCAAATAATTTAAAGTTTTCATCTTTGACGTCCTGGTACAAATTTAAAATAACAGAATTATTTTGGAAAATTTATGAATTAAATTAGGGCATTAATTGAGGACAAGCATTGGGTATGAGCAAAACTTGCGATCTTTTCGTCCTTTTTAATAATAGCTGCAATTGAAACAAGAAGAAAAATTCCATCTATGATATAAATGTTAATTTCAACTTTCAAAAATTTCAGTGCATATTCAAAGAAACAAATGCGTTCTTTCACAATAAGATGGCTTAAATATAATTTACTTTAAAATACTTCTTAGTATCTATTCAGATCTTTCATCATTTAGTAGAGTTTTTAAATAACTTCTTTATAAACCTACATTAAAAATTAGTCATTTAAAAATAAGTTCTCACTGTTCGCTTCTTCTTTTTCTTTAAGCTAACATAATTACGGTTTCGGACTCAAAATGAGTTAAAACTTTCATCTTACCTGACCTGAAGCGAGACTCAATTAGAAATCCAGTTTCAAAAACAGTAAAACAACATAATAATTCACGGTATGTCCGCCGTTTTATTGCTCAAATTCTATAAATATTCTGACAAGCATGTTTCGCTCTCGAGTTCTTTCAATTGGACACCAAGTCATGGCCATTCAATTATCAGTGAAAGATTGCATATACTTCTAGAGGCTAAAAATGGTACCTTTCGTTAACTAGCTCCCTTTTAAACTGCTCACGTGTTTTGTAACTTGAGCCAACATTCGGCAGACCATAGATGCGACCTTGTTCGGTATTAACTGCACATTCATACTTTGCGTCATTAATTAATTATGCTGTGTTACGAGAACAAGTTTCCTTTTTAACTTATACAAACTGAAGAAATATTTCCCTTTTTCTTATTTCTTCTCGGTCACTGCGTGAAATTTCTCCACCATTTTAAATTTCATTCACGTACATCAAATAGCATTTAGTAAGCTATCAAATGAACCAAAACTCATGATCCATATGGAATCAATTTTCTTTAGAAAAAGCATTTAATTTAAAAGATTCAAAATACAGAAAAGAAATTGAAAGAATACCTTATAAAATTTTCCTTGTTTCAAAGGAAATTTTACCTTTTTAATATTTCAGTCTTGATTGTATTAAGTTAATCAGTTTTCAGTTTCCATAGCATGAATATTCGAAACGATAGCTGTGTTATTTTATTCTGTTCTGACTGCAATAAGTCTTTCAAGCTTTATACACATTGGTTTCAGATAGCTTCTTCTATCTGACCACTTTTAACATTTAAAGATTCTACTGCAATCCTCAATTACTTTTAAAGCTCAACGGGAATCCACAACTTTATCATTTTGCTGTATGTTTTCATGTTGGAAACAAAATTTGACCTTAAACGTAATTTTCTCTCGCTTTCTTTGAGATTTCGTTTCAGTATATCGAAATGAAGATATCTGAGATTTCGTTTCAGTATATCAAAATGAAGAAATCTACCAACACTATCGTTATTGTTAGAACAATATTTTTTATCAATTTTAGTATTTAGTATATAGATTAGATTTATGTATTATAAACTAATGGGCATCATTCCCCAAACTGACAAGCGTATTCTCATAAAAAAACTCTTCCATAAAAAGTTTGGGTTACATTTGTTTTGAATAAAGCATTGCTTGCGAAAATCTTTCTTCAAGCCTTTAAAGGACTATATGAGTTTACCTCAGCCATCCCAAATATTGGCACGTTATCTTTAGAAATTTTCTTTATTAATCAATTTTAAACTGAGTGTTTTTGAAAGTGAATGGTAAATGTATTTTGTAGAAAGAGTTTTATTGTTAGCACTAATACTCACTATTTAATCTTTAGGTGGATCGAATAATGAAATTCTACCCCATCGAAAATGCGACGCTTTGACGAAAATCCATCGAGCGAATCATCGATATCTGTGATCTCGAAAGCTTGAAAAACTGCCACCTATAATTCAATGTCTTAAGCTTCCCCAGTGTTAGTTCATGTCATTATCATTCATCGTTAGTTTTGCCGCTGTGATTCGAATGTTTCAATAAAGTTTTGACATTTGTGCTGTACCATTTGATGTTACAAGTTCGAATACCATTTGCAGAATTTAATACAAATAATTTTAGTGACAACGGTACAACTTCATATCAAAATTTTATATATGATTATATATAAAATTTTAAATTTTAAACATGGTGGGGAGAAAATGGCGTCTACCAAGCAGTTGAGCAGATATTTGATTTTTTATGTACATGCCATGAAGTAACTATTTCTTTAAAGCAGATTTTTCTTACAGTCTATTCAAAATAGTTAACTCTTCAAAAAATTTGATGTAAATTTTCTGTAAGTTAAATTTGAGATAATAAGTATAGCCGTTTAAAATTCACTTGATTATTTACAATCGTATATATCTCAAGTTTAGAAAATAAATGTCAATAAATATAAACGTTCACAACTTAATTGGGAATTATCATGAATATTTATAAATCAAAGGTGTTATTTTATACATTATATTCATATTCATTCATATTCATATTCATTACGGAAAGATTACAGGAATAAATGTCTCTTTACTGGTGGTTTAAGTTATAGAATTAAATCAAATAAGAAATAACTAAGAAAACACTTTTTATTGACACTTTCTTCTTACAGTGTTTGTATAAAAAGGAAATTTCACATATTTCCATTAAAAGCTTATAGCTGGAAGTCAAATCATTTGATTCACTTCATAAATTAGAAACATAAGCCTACGACCAGTTAAAAAAATATTTGGTTGTGGAAACTTCTTGTATGAAACTTCTTCTTGTATGAGTAACCAAATTATTTTGAATATCTATTTAATCTTATCTATCATTTGTACTTTCAGTACCTCTGAAATTCTTTTTATTTTGACGACAGTATGTTTTGTGCAACTAAAATTATCCAAAACGCAATTATTGGCATCTTCCAGTTCCTGAAAGGATGAAGACAGAGCTTGTCGGTTTATTGCTATGTATAGATCTTTCTCCTATACACAGCAGTATACCGAAAACATTTGAGCTGAAATTTAATCCTCGGCGATATTTAAATAACTCTGGAAAGTCAGGTATTGTTCCACATGAACTGAAGGGACTGAAATGTGCACGAAAAGCGTACCCTGCATAGCAGAAAGTTACCGCCATCTACCAATGAAGATTATCTAAGCTTCAACTCTGTTTACTCAATATGCTCAGATTATCACCTACATAATATTAATTGCTAGTGCATTTTTCAGACTGTATCTACTACCCTTTCAGTTATATTATTTCGGCTATTTGTTTGCCATTTGCTGCTTCCCGAAATCTGTGTTCTCTGTTCCTTTGTTTCCTGTGTTCCGAAAATAGAAACGCTTTTTTTACCTAGCTTGAAACAAGCAATATTGACAAAAAATTAAGTTTTTCTTGCATATTGTTCAGTATGCTGGATATCTGCATTTTGACTCCAGATTTAGATTTATTAGATAAAAAAAATCTGACCATTTCTTATTCCGCTCGCGCATATCGTAGCCATATCTAATCACAGACCAAGAACCTAATCTAAACCTAGAATCACATACCTAGTCTTTTTTTAATCAATCCATTTTGTTTATGCATTTACTACTCACCCCACAATTCATTAGTAAAGCTATTCTCCTCATGATCAAACCAGTGTTGAAAACGGCATTATCACTTGACGTTCAAAGTTCATTCGAGTTTACTCGAACGTAATTTATCCTTTACTTTAAGAATGATATATGCTCAACATTTAATTTTTTATCAGATTCAGACAGCAGATGTCAGCACTATTTCCGGAATGTTTAGCAATCGTAAATAATTTGGACGCTCAAATATATGTATCTATGCATGAAAATAAATATATAGTGCATATTGAGCATATCTGAGCATATGTGTATGCATGTAAATACATATATGCAGAGATACTAGATATGCAGTAGATAACAGATATATATAGTGAGAAACGATGAAGTACTTGCTGCTAAGGGACTGTCGACAGATATTTCGATGTATAAAAATTGTTTGTTTGAAACTTATTGACAAGAATGCCTAATAGCTATAATAACTTAGATGCATTTCTGGCAGATTTCGGAGGTCTCTTCTGAATACATACAGAGAAATTTGATCCATTATGCGTATAGTTCAGCAAAACATATGATAGATTTGGAAATCATATTGACTGTTCTGACGTCATAATACCATACATAGCGTTAGTCAGAATTAAAAAAACCTGTATGAATTTTAAGCGACAGAAAGAGGTATTTCAGGTTTAGAAGAAAATAATTCAATATTGCATGAATCACAGCAAGTATATGATAATAAAAAGTGACAGACGTTTTAAATAAATTCTTTATTTCATTAGTAAATAAGATTAGGAATATTAAAATTTGTTAAATCATATATTGTTTGCATTATATTATCTTTTTCTGTAAAATTTTAATTTGGTTACAAATTTGTTACTATGAAAACTCAAATATTTCAGTACAAAAGTTCTTTTTTTAAAATTAAATTAATTAATTAATTAATTAATTTTATTATACATTTTATCAGCTATAATTTTATTGCCGTATAGTATAAATGATTCAAATGTGTAATTGGTTAAATTATACCTTTCTTTCACATTAACGAAAATTTAAACTCAATTTAGATTGATAATCTTTATAAGAGAGAATATTATCAAGAAATCGAGCTTTATTAGAAAGAAAGAAAGAAAAATATAATTTATCCAATTATATATCTGAATCCTTTATGAATACTGCAATGAAATTTCAGCTTATAAAATACTGTAATAAAGTTCAAAAGTTAGAAAAGGTCTGCATTATTCAATGATTGCCAGCGCCATGTTAACATCACAAGTAACGAGAACACAGTTAAACTCGCAAAAGAGGGTCGAAATCTCAATAACAATATTAATGTAAATGTCACTTCTCTTGGATGCAAATTTCGTGGCCAAATACAAATTGAAGGAACATTAAATTTCAAACATCAGTGGAGTTCGGCTTATAACTAAAATCAGGCATAGAATAATAGGCTTATAACATAGTTAGGCTTAGAATTGGCCATCACAGAGGATTGAAAATTGACAGACAGGGTAGGAAAATTTGCAGAAACTGTAACAATTGCCCGGACACAGAATTGGAAACTGCACACATCTTTGTTGTCCAGCCGTTCTTGCTGAATTGTTAAAAACTGGAGTCCTGTTTAATAGACCGAACCTCTACGATGATAACATTTTGCAGATAGCTATGGCTGTCATCTTTGCCCATGGGTTATGAATAGGCTTCATATTAGATATGTTAGATATGACAAGAACAATCTTTACAATTTGAAGAGTTACTCGTTACTGAAAATGAGATGTGAGGATTCCGCTCCAGAAAACCAATGCGGTAAATTTTTCTAAATATCAGTATTTCAATTATTTATATTCCTTATATGGGTTTACACAAAAGTGCAGAAAAGGAAATTACAATTCGGATAATAACGAAGCTGTCTTAGATACTAACTGACGAAATCGCTTTGCATTGCTCTGATAAAATTACTAACTAGCAAGGATGAATAATATCGAATTTTTACACGTGCTATTATTTTAACTAAAATAATATATGCTATAAAATGAAGAAAAAGAATACAAAAAAACATTGCGCAGCCGTGTATGTACATTAGTAAAGATGATTTAAGGAAGCATACATGGGACCTTCTCATACAATAGGAAAGATGCGAAGGTAGGTACAATAGGAAAGATGATTTCATAGTTGAGATGACTTTTGTATGAAAAAGTACATAGGTCAGTCAGAACGTTAGTTGCACCCCTTTAAAAATTTTCTGTCAAAGGCTATTTTGATGAAGCTGTCTGGCAGCACTTCAGACATTTAGCTGCATTGTGGGACGTAGCGGCTTTCACGAGACAATTTTAATTTGTCTGATCAACAGTCGTAAACATGTCTCGACAGCTGCAAGTAGCATCCAAATTGGAAATGCGTGCAGTGATTCGTTTCTTGGGCGAAAAGATTAACTGCTGTGAAATGTTTCGGCACTTGTATGACGTTTATGGTGAAAATGCAACGGGACGTCAAGCTATCGCGAACTGGTGCGACATGCTTCACAACGAGCGTACAGATATTGACGACGCTCAGCGAGAGGGAAGACCATCAACTGCCACAGAGTCTGAAATTGATGCTAGCGTGAATGAATGTATTCTTGCAAAAAGACACATAACAATCGACGAGATCTCTAATAAACTGGGTATCTCTTATGGAAGTGTGCATAAAATTATTGCCGATCAGCTTCAATTTCATAAATTTTGTGCTCGATGGTGCCTCGTCTACTGACAGAGGAACATAAAGGGAAGCGTTTTGAAAGTGAGTTGAAATTTCTGCAACGTACCAAAAGGAAAGAAATGAGTTTTCGCACAAAATTGTGACAGGAGATGAGTTTTGGGTTCACCCCCCTTCTCACCTGAAACGAAACATAGCTCCCTCGAGTGGAAACATTTCATTTTCCGATTCGAAAAAATGTCGAACTATGTCATCTGCGGCAAAAATGATGCTGAGGCATTTTTTCAACAGAGAAGGTTTAGTGCATAAGGAGTTCATTCCGAAGTGTGCCATAATTAATTCATCTTCTTATTGTGAAACACTAAAACGATTGCGACAATTGCTTTAAAATCGAAAGCCAGGTAAACTGTAGAAAGACATTGCGCTCCTGCATGACAATGTAAGACCGCATGCAGCAAAACAAATGTGAGATCTTCTGAAAAGTTCAGGTGGAAAGAATGAGATCACTCTCCTTATAGACCAGACCTTGCACCGTGTGATTTTCCATGTGTTTGGTCCCATGAAAGCAGAACTTTAAAAGCGACGATACCACTCGGATGACGAGGTGAAAGCTGCAACCCAAGAAGGGTTATCGGACATTGCACGGGATTTCTTGGCAGGAGACGTCAAAAAACTTGTACCACACACACATCGACAAATGCTTAAACAGCGGAGGTAATTACGTTGAAAAGTGGACTTTGAATGGAACTTTAAGATACAAATAGGGTTATTGTAAAATTTCTATCCTGATTTGTTTTCCTAAAACAGCGCGACTAACGTTTTGACTGACTCTCGTATTTTTACTGTGAAATTTATATCAAGGACGCAAGTCTGTGTCAAGGAAATATTTTAGGGATATATTAATTGCCTTTGATATTCGTAAAAGCCTTCCAGAAGAGAAAACAGGTGACAAACAAGAAAAATAAACACAGCTGTTCTACGCAAATAAATACAATAAAAAGGATATTTATTAGTTAAACGACAATAAGCCGTTTATTATGCCACGATTCGAGTGTGTAATTAAAGGCGTTTAAAATTATGGCTTTTGAATGATTTAATAACTTTAACTTCAAATTTAAATTCAAATAAATGAAGTAACTTTAAATAAATAACGCAACAAGTTTCTGAGCGGTGTAAAGAAATTACAAGACACTCCCAAACTGGACTTTAAGAGCTTCAATGATGCAATCAATTTCTTGATAGTGTACTGACTGAATTAATTACTAATTAAATTTAACTTTTACCAAACTTGGAACTGAAAATCAGATTCTGTGAATTTTAATGCAATTAGAATTTGAACAAAGAAGCACTGCTTGGAAATTTGAACTAATAAGTACTGTCTCTTCAGAGGATAACAGTTGTGAGCATATCACAGTTGTGTGTGAAATGTTATTTTATTTAATAAAAGAGACTTTTAAAACGTAGCTTTGCATTATTTCACTGGATATTTTCTGCATGAAGTTTGCAATAAATATTTCCTTGAAATGGCAACAATGTCAGGTTACGCCTCTGACAGACTCCATACAATTCTTAAATTAGGGGCTTGTTTATAAAAAATAAATTAATCGTCGGACAAGTGTTTTTGTTACTGATTGCTATAGCAACTGTAACTGCTAACAAACTAACAACGAATAAAATTTACAGTATGCTTACATGAAATTGTCACATACACATAACATGCACTTATACATTATTAAATAATTATATCTTTTTTAAAATTTATTATTATTATTATTTTATTAAAAACCGAAACGATTTTTATGAATTGTTATGATGACATTTATATATATCATTCAAAAAGTAATGATTTAAATACTATAAATTATGAAAATCCATTTTTTATTTTGTAAATTTATTATTATTAGTTGTAGTATTATTATTATTCTGTACAGAAGCCGGGCCATTCTGAATTGCGGGCTGTAAGCATTTGTCCTATTTTCCGATTAATTAAGATGTCACTTAGTGCTCATACTATTTATTTTCACAGAGTAAGAAATTCGCATTTCAATAAACGATAAACATCTCAAACAGGTATACTTCGAAGTATTTAATAACCATAAATTACTAGCTAATGATAAAAAAATTAATGTAATTATTGAAAACATTTAAAAATGGTAAATATATATATGTAATCATACAACAAAATAAACACATTCAAACATATCCGCGACCTCTCAAAAATTGCTTCCTAAGCTATTGCTGAGAAGCGATCCTAGCTGTAGGTGCCATTGCATTACTCCATTATATACAAAAAGGAAATAAAAGTATTACTTTATACATAATTAAAATTAAACAATTCCTTACTGTTAATTGACTGAATAATTGTAAATTTAAATTATCAGCAACATTTTTTTCAACATTAAAAGTCTAAATAGGATGTAAAATAATATCAAATATCAGCTCATTCCAATTAATGAGCGAAAAAGTGTTCATGAAAGCAGTTTTAATTTAATAATCAAATATTATATTTCTGCATTCAGAGTTAAGGTTTCTGCAAAAAGAAATGTAATTAAACTTACCGTTTAATTTATACGTCTTAAAAATGAGGAGATAGCTAGCAGCACATTAGTTGTTTTTTAAAGTACGAACAAAATATGAGATGAATTTCAACCTCGATCTTTTCCTCCCAAACTAGTTCTCTCACCACAAATCGTATAAATCTTGGGGAGTTACGCCACTAGTTCTCTCAATGTCAGTCGCACGATTGTCGATTTAAGATCTGAGTTGGAGGCTTAGCAGACGAGCTATCAAAATGATGATGAAAAAAATCATGAGATGTTTTTCAGTTTCGCCTCATTTTATTTATTACGTATTACTAATTTCTTTGTTTTATTTTCCTTTTCTTCGTGAGTTGCTAAGAGATATCCCAAAGACCTTGTGCACACTTTTTTCTGTTTTAATATTGTGTTATTGAAATTGGAATCAGATTTCTTTGTTTTATTTTATTTTTCATGTTTCCGTATTTCTTTCTCTTGTGGTTTTTAAAGCTTTAAAAGATTTAGTGACCTTCAAATAAGAGTGTTAATTTTTTTCTGCTTTACTTTTTATTGATGTTATCTAACAGGAAGAGAATAATGCGCATTTATTTTGCGAGATAGAAAGTTTTGAACGTATTCATTCACTCTGTAAGAAGTACGTAGTTTCTGTTTATTACGGTATTTGCGTAAATATGACCGTTTTCTTTGGTCAAAATATTGAATATATAGTTTGGAGAACAGCAATAATTATATTTTTTTCGAAATATACGTATTTGCATCAGTCAATGCAGCTGAAACTATGCATGTACACTAAAATGAAAACTAAATTATAAATAAAACTATAATACTTTCTTTGGTTTCGAAGCAGAAATATGAAATCTATATAAATCTTTATTACTTTTATAACTCAAAAATCAAAACATAATAAATTTCTCTAAATAATTTAGGTTTTGAACAAAAACAAAAAGAGGAAAAGCATATGTTAATTTACTGAAAATATAACAAATATATCAACTCAAAAAAAAAAAAAAAAAAAAAAAAAAAAAAAAAAACTGGCGGAAATACAAATTTCTGTGATAGTAAAATAAAACTGCCAACAATTTTTCAAGCTATTTGTTAAGCGCTGAAGAGATGCTGATGAAGAAAGTTCCAGATTATTACTAGGGTTACCCAATTATTAGCATGTTTATAGAACATGTTTTCTGCATTGATTCAGTGCTGTATACAAAGTAAATAAAATATTTTTGATGCAATTTTTAATAAAAAATCTGCGTCCACCACTGAAAATTTTCGCATGATACTTGATGTGGTGGTGTATTTAATTACGGCAAAGCACACTAGGGCTATCTGCCTAAGGGGAGGGATGCCTCTCGTGGAGGACTTTCTAAGGGAAACTGGCTCGTATACACGTTACACATGGGGAAAACCAGCATGATACTTGATATCAAGACACTTAGATCTGATGCTATTTTTTATAAAAATCTGCCTCCATGCGGAAAATGGTCTGAGAATATTTGATATTAAAAGCACTTTACGAAAGACTGATAATGGTGCAATATCTGAGTTACACAAGCCTGTATGACACATTAAAGAAACAGGAAAAAGAAATCATACAGCACAAAGAAAAAACAACACAATATTCAAGATAGATACTTAGGTATAATCGCAACTACCGTGGCGCAGTTTGGCAAAAGAAGAATTACTTTTATTGTAAAAAATATGTATTGCGTATATGCATTATTATTACATACGAATTCTACGTTTCAGTTATATAATTATTCCAAAAGACAATCGGTAAACCTAGTTACAAATGGCTTTTGTTTTTGTTGTGGTGGAAATTTCGTAGCGATTGCTTTGAGAAAGAATTCGAAGCATTGTTCCTTTAGCGATTTTCCGACAAAAAATGCATTCCTTGAGAAATTTCAACTATCTTTCTCCTATTTTAGGAAAATCCTACAAGCAACAATTTTAAAATCGAGTTTAAGACAAAAACTAATCATAATTAGCCCAGAAAGGCTATTAATTTCGTTTTGCAATTCTGCTTTGATTCACTATAAATGGCGAATCACTTTTTAAATTGTTGCCAATAAATATTAGAACCCTGTATTATATTTAAAGAAATTAAATAATAAAAAATCTGCATAAATGTATCTGTGTTTTTCGCATTGCGATAAAACAACGGTACCTAAGGCCATCAAAATTTAGTAACGTACGTCTCCACCCGAATATGGGCATCTGGAAGACCAAAATGTACAGCAACAAAATTGTCACTATAAATACGCTGCGGTACATTGAGATACAGAATGTGCAGCAATAAACGAGTCTGCTATTAAATCACTGACTGCTTTTAACTGCTTTAGTTGACAAACACTGCTTTAGTTGACAAACAATAAAAAAAGCTATATAACCTTTCGTTTTTCTAGAATTACGATCCTTATTGAATTTAATGGTAATGGGGCCAGCATGATCCTCATCAGGTGCGGAAAAAGCTAAAGTCACACGATGCTCAGGAAAGTTTTCCATCAATTCCAGAGTTGA